TGTGTGTGTGTGTGTGTGTGTGTGTGTGTGTGTGTGTGTGTGTGTGTCTGCTTGTTCTACATGAAGGAAACAGCGGTGCTTCCTGTTACTTGAGACTCTGAGTTTAAACTAACAGGGAATTGGTGATCGATGACTAAATGATGGAGTTTAGTGACGCTACGATCTGATTGGTCAATTCTCTGCTCATTGATCTTACAAACAATCACTCAGCTTTCCCTTCAGGACCCAGAGACGGCGCTGTCCGTGGTGCTGAAACAACTCGGCTTCTGAGTCTGTCTGCTTTTAATGCATCTTCACACAACGCTTCATATGATGTCATACCAAACGTTACCCAGAAAAGCTTGCAACACGCATCAATAACAAGCAAACAACGTAATAATGTTCAGGACTAGATGTTGAAATACTTAGTTCGTGGTTTGAGTTAAAATAACTACGGAAGTTCTACTAATTATGGCTCATATAGTTGCGCCTTATCTTCATGACACATAATAGTGACCGTGTGTTGAGTCTGACATGGAGGAGGTCTGAGAGCTTTTATTTTGGAGGGGGGGGTCAAAGGTCATTTTCTTTTTATCTGCATGTAGTAAATACAACTTGAGCAAATAACCGTATATTTCTGTATATCAACATCTCTTGAATATTCTTATATTCATAGTTTTCCTCTAAACTCAACCTGATGAACAGAATACATCCCATCATGAGTCTCTGGAGGCAACACACACTTTAATACGTGGTGCTGAATCCTTCATGTAAAGAAAGGAAGTAAAGGAAGTGAGAAGGAAGCGAGAAGGAAGTGAGAAGGAAAGGACAGAGAGGAAGTCAACAAGGAACACGAGGAAATATTAGAAGACTTCTTCTTCTTCTTGTCATTTCTGGTTGTTATAAAGAGTCTCATAGTCACCAGTCACTGGATCATGGTGTGTGTGTGTGTGTGTGTGTGTGTGTGTGTGTGTGTGTGTGTGTGTGTGTGTGTGTGTGTGTGTGTGTGTGTGTGAGCTGTGTGTGTGTGTGTGTGTGTGTGTGTGTGTGT